GACCGCTGCTCGGGCCTAGTCCGGCGGCCGCCCGACGAACGGGCAAGCGGCGGCGTCTGTGAGCCCACAGGAGATCGCTGCGAGCAAACCAACGAGGAAGGAGATGAACCGGCGGCCCGGTTGCAGAAAAACGGCCTGAAAAGCCGCCGGGAGAAGCCCAGTGGCAGTGGTAGGCAATTCGAAGTAGTCAATAAAGTTTATTCAAAACAACGAGGAAGTTGAGGCGGAGAGGGGAGGAGAAATATGGGGTAAACAGCTACCATATTGAGAGTGGCGGCGCCGCCGCGGGGAGGCAACCCGACCGCCATCTTATGAGGGCCGGGCACGCGAGGTAATCGCGGCGGAGGCGGGGAAGGGCGGGCTCCGGCTCCCGCGTGACGCCATCGGGGGCGGGGCTTCACCTTGAGAAAGCGGGGCGGGGTTCGGTTACCTTTGGACCAGCTCGACTCCCCAGGTACCCAATCGATGCCTAGGGCCCAGAGCCGAGAGGCGGGGAAGCCGCCATCTTAGACGAGGCGGGTGCTTGGCTCCATTTTGAGTGGGGCCAGAACCTTCCCCGCCTTCCTCCTTCTTCGGGCTCTAAGCACCACCCCTCCAACCACCACCCACCCTACGACACACACACACACACACACACACAGGCATACACACATACATACACACACACACTCCTCCCCAGCTTTCTCCTCCTATGAGAGGAGATGAACTGTGTGACTGCGCGCTGCAAACTTAATAGGCGGCGGCGGCGGCGGGGGCAGGCCTTGGGCCGGGGTGGAGGCGGAGTGAGTACTCACAGAGGCTCCGGTTCATTGAGCACCTTCAGCGAGCCGGGCTCTTTCCGGCGGTCTCCGGGTCGTTTACCCTTCACCCTGCAAGGGAAGCTCTATTATTGTCCCCAAGCGAGGACACGGGCTCAGAGAAGCCAAGTGGCTTGAGTTGCAGAGCCGGGAAATTGAACCTTGCACTCTCTACTACCCCCGCGTTCTGCCCTCGGTCCCTGGGTCGTAGTTCCCCCGTAAAGCTTCTGTCAGCTCCCCAGCACCCCCTTCCCCCGAAATCGCTCTTCTTTGACCCTACTGTTTCAGTTCAGTTCCGATGCAGTTCAGGGATTTCCATGCACCTGTCCCGCGATTTTCTGACTACAGCCTGAGAGTAGGGTGGGAGAAGTTGAGTGAATGGAACGCCACACACATGCTTCCAGGTGGCGCTGGTTTTCTCAGGCATTCTAGAATATTCTCTTGGAATACACTTACTGTTTCATTTTCTTAAAGGGTCCCACCGCTTTAGAAAAGAAAAATGCGTGTACTTACCAATTTGCCAAGTGACGGTGGGTTAGGCCTTGGGGATGCGATGATGAAAAAGAGGGACTCTGTGGCTGGAAATTGCCAGCCAGTGCAGCAAACCAGCTTGAAGTCAACAATTGGAATACTGTATCCAGTAAGCACCCAGATACCTCTTTCAAAGTGCAAAATGAGGCCAAGAAAGTGCCTCAGAAGCTGCTTGCTGCTTTCAAGGAAGATTTCAGAGAGACCTGGAGGTTAGAAATTTCACTAAATTAACAACATTGTATATAAAAGGATTATCATGTATAAATGCACATGGGAAAACATTTACAAAAAGAAGTTGAGTGTTAGATTTTACCCTGTAAGCAATAAGAAATCACTGCAGGTTTTTGAGCAAGAGCAAGATAGTGGCATCTGGCTTAGCCAGAGACAGTCCAGGTTTAGTGGGATCTGCAGCTTATACAGTTTGTGAGGTGGAATTTCATTAAGAAAAGAACATACACTTGTGAATACAAAGTTACGTTCAAAGGTAGACAGTAGAGTATGCCTAGAAGCCATTGCTACACTTGGGTAATAACTATAATAGAAGTAATACAAACCACATACAAATGTCCCCACCAAACCCAAACTAAATGTATGCCCCAAATCAACTTCCACTTAGCTGGGTCTCAAAAATGCCTGAGGCAGCTCCAACATCACCTAATACAAGGAAAATGTGATCAGGAAAACTCTCAGCAGAAAGGGACAGCAATTTTAACCAATTATGGTTAAAATATATTTTGCAAACCTTGTAAAACATATGACCATGTGGCAAGCGACAAGCCCTGTAGCTTAAGCTTTCTTAGCTTTACAAGGAGGCACGAGGATGTTTGCTTCAGCAGCATATATATTAAGATTGAAAAGACACAGAGAAGATTAGCATGGCCCCTGTACAAGTATGCCATGCAAATTTATAAAGCATTTCATAATAAAAAAGGGGGGGAAAGGGAGGCGAAGAGGAAGAAGTAGTTGCATTAGTCATGAAAAAAAGATGAGGCCTGAATCAGGATAGTTGCAGCAGGGGTAGAAAATGATCAGGTAAGTGGGATGTTTTGGAGGTTGAATAGACAGGGCTAGGAGACTACCTGAAAATAGTGGGTAAATAAGTGAAGGGAGTGTGAGTTCATTTCTGGGTTTGGTGTCAGAATGAATAATGGTGCCATTGACTGAGCTGGAATATAAAGAAGGAAAAGCAGGTTTGGTGGGAAAGAAGAGTCTAAGTTCAGTCTGAAGTATGTTGAGGTGTGTGTGGAACATTAATTCACTAACCCAGCAATTCTTTGTTGAGCATCTACTGTGCGCCAGGCACTGTACTAGGTGTGAGGATGTAGCGGTAACCCACATAAAGTCCTGGCATTCATTCTGGTGCTAACATTCTTCACAAGGATGAGTCAATAATCAAACAAATACCATTTCATCCATATTTTTATTGAGCACCTACTATATACCAGGCACTGTTCTAGGCAGTAGGGATTCAAACAAGGTCCCTGTCCTCCTGTGATTCACTTTCTAATGAGGGAGACAGACAATAAAATGAGTTCAAATAAGAGAATTTCAAGCTGCAGTGAGTGCTGTGAGGAAAATAAATTATGTGACAAAGAAAGATTTGGATAAAAGGTAGTCTATTTTAGATAGTCAAGGAAGGCCTCTTGGAGATGCTGACATATGAGCTAAGACTTGAATAACAAGAAGAGCTGGCCAGGGACAAGGCAGAAGGACTAAAAAGGGCAAAAGCCTTAATGTGGTGGGAGGCAGTTCAGGGCACCCTCTCAATAACGCCTGAGCATTTATGATGGACTAGGCAGGGTACAGGTGGCGTTTGGGGGTGGGGGCCTCCAGACATGAATAAGAGACCCTGTGTGTACCCTTAAGGAGTGCCCAATCTAATGAGGGAGGCAAGCTTCAATGACCAATAACAAGGCTGAAAAGGGTCAAACCCTAAGGGCTACCTAGAGGTACGAACATGTGTAGGAACAAAAAGGGAACCACAATTAATTCAAACATATTCAGTGGGTATGTCAGGAAAAGCTTGACAGGAGGTGGCATTTGACTCAAGTACAGTGGTACTCACCCCTACAAGCGTCTCCCCAGTGTTCTTCGGTGGCAGGTTTGGAGCATAAAGGATAATGGGGAAGGCAAAGCTGTCAGGGGGCTGAATCTGAGGCAGTTAGATTTACTGACCAAAGAACTCAGCCCTGCCTTGGATGGGAGGCTGCTGGCTGTTGCCTTGGAAATATGTGCACCAATTGTCTCTCCCACAGCATCAGTCCATGATCTGAACTGGCCAATGTAGTGCGAGTCCGCCCTGGAAACTTTCCTCCCCCACCCCACCTCCACTTAACAGTTGTAAACACTTATTTTTAACTATGTAGGCAATAGTAAATGCATTCCCATTGTAAACATTCAAACAGATCCACCCCACCACCACCACTCAATCCTGTTTACTTCCCTAGAGGGTATCTCAGCGAGCTCTTTTTCGATTCATCTTTGTGCATATACGTACAGATAACTGTTGAGTTGAAACATGACAAGGGCCAAAGTGGACTATAAAGTACATGAAGAAAAATGGGGGGAAATGGGGAAACATTATGTGAAGAAGAACAGGTTTGCTCCAAAACGGGTTTGAAAGTACAAGGACAGTGAAAACAAAAGACAAAATAATGACAAATAACATTATCTGAGAAGCTACTGTGTGCTAAGCACTGTTTTAAGCTCTTTACGTGCATTAACTCACTCAATCCTTACAGCAACCCCATGAGATGGGTACTAGTACTATCCCCATTTTATGGATGAGGAAGCTGAGTTATAGAGATTTTAAATCACTTGCTTGAGGTCTCATAACTAATATGTATGCAAACTGGGGTTCCTGGTGACACAGGTCCAGGATCTAGGCTCTTCACCACTCCAGGTGTGGATCTAACAGCAACTGGTATCTCTAAGATCCATGTCATGGGGGAAGGTGATCAAGGGTTCTTCGTATAATTTGAATCACAGAAGCAAGATAGGAGTTGACATTCACTTGGAATGACAACTAGCAGGATGATCCCCCAGGTGCCAAACGAGGTAGCAGAGAACACCAACCCATTCCTCCAGGGCCAGCTTTAGGGGTGTGCCACCTAGACAGAGCTCTGCTCCCAGAAAGGGCTTCAGGCTTGGTTCAGTGCTCTCCTGTCGCTGTCTTGACATTCTTAATAATTTTATCTTTGAACCTGTGTCTTGTGTAGTCCAGTGTGCCAATGGCACATACACATGAGCAGAAGAGTTACACTGGGTGGCAGTAAGCACAGCCAGTGGGCACAGTGTGTGGTGTGTGTGCTGAGCAATCGGCCAGGCCACCTGACATGTACAAGTGCATCTGGGGCAGTCTGGGGCACCATGGGGCCCAGAGTGAGGGCCATTGGGCCACAGACAATGGTGGCAGCAGTAGCAGGAGCAGCAGCAGGGGTGGCTGTAGTCATAGCCCTGAGAGAAAGGACGGCTTCTGCATTGGGGCAGTGACGGGATCTGTGGTGAGAGGCAACCTTGCCTTTCTGTCACCAGAGCCTGTCCCTGCAGCATCTGCACAAATATTAGCTCTGGCCTGAGCACTGGGACAGGAACTGCTGGCACTCAGGCAATGAACTTTGCCAGTAAATTATTACAAAATTAAAAGGTACTCATGGACTTTGCGGTAAGGGACATCAGGGAGTTATTAGAACTCTTTGAAGAGTTTGGAATCTGTTGTTTTGAAAACAGGTACAAAATTGCAAAGTAAATATCCACAGATTAAGAAATGGAAATTAAGTTTAAAGATCATCACATTAGGCACAGTGGATGAAAGCTTTGGATGAACCCGCTATTAATGAGGAAGGCAATTTAAAAGTGTCTTCCTTAGAATTGAAGATACAGTGGTAGAATGCATAAACATGCGTTTTGAATTATAAATAAATTTTGAAGTCATTTTCCATTTCTTGTGTGACCTTGTCTTAGTCTGTTCAGGCTGCTATAACAAAAATGCTGTAAACTGAGTGTCTAATGGACATTTATTTCTCACAGTTCTGGACTCTGGGAAGTTCAAAATCAAGGTGCTGGCAGATTCAGTGTCTACTGAACGCCCACTTTTGGGTTCATAGATGGTGATCTTCTTGCGGTAGTGGGAGGGGTGAAGGAGCTCTTCAGAGTCTCTCTTATAAGGGCACAAATCTCACTTATGAGGGCTCCAGTCTCAAGACCTAATCACCTACCAAAGGCCCCACCTCCTAATACCATCACATTGGGGGTTGGGATTTCCACATATAAATTTGAGGGCAGGGATACAAGCATTCAATCTATAGCAGATCTCTACAAGTTACAGGAAATGTCACAGGAAACATTAAATGCCATTGTATAAATTTACATTTAAAATTAGAATCAGACTTAGACAAAACTGATTTGTACGAAAAGTTAAATCTTTTTTGAAAAATTGTTCTACAAGAATCATCAGCTCTAGATGCATTAAAATTTGTAGTTTGAAATAACTTATCAGAAATCTATCCTAATGTTGTCATAGCCTACAGAAAACAGTGCCAGTAACAGTTGCATCAGCTGAAAGTTCCTTTTCAAAATGAAAACTTACCAAACATTTGCACTCTTGTGACTGATGTTACATTCAGTTATATTGGTTGAAAATGAAATTGCTAAAAATATAAATTTTGAGGACTATATCATTGAATTTGCAGAAAAGTGAGCCAGAAAAATCTATCAAGGTATATTAGTAACATGTTATTATTTTTTTTATTATATAAATTATGGGAAAATATTGTTCTGCAATTTGTAAATTTATGTTGTTATTCATGTGTCACTATTCCTATTATATTGAAAAGTAATAAAATATTTTTAAAGGAAAAAACCATATATTAATCTCCTTAACTGTACTTCCCACCTCTACCCTGGTTTTTGAACAAGGAGCCCTCCATTTTCATTTTGCATTGGGCCCCACAGATTATGTAGCAGGCTCCCACTACTGCTAGATGGTACTTGTGAGATGATGTGAGGGGATGGTCGCCACTCAAACAGCCTCACTAACCAAACTCCTCTCCTTTGTGAGTAGGGGGTGGGGGCGGGTAGAGACAAGATGATGACAGAAATATGGAGGTTAGTGTGGCTGTTTAGCATTTTCTCGTGAACAGGAACATACTGTCCGTATCATTTGGCCAACTGCTTTCTTCACTTGGCAATGTCTTGGAGATCTTTCTACAGAAAGAAAAAATCAACGTTGTTCTTTTTTGAATTCTTGTTCAGGAAATTCCATAATTCGGATAAGTCTTGATTTCTTTTTCACTCCCCTGATGGATGTTTAAAGTGGTTTTATTTCTCAGTAATATGAAGCTGCTGTGAACATACCAGTAGGGGCCTCCTCGTGCATAAGCATGTTTCTCTAGAAGGACACTCAGAGGGGTTGCTGGGCCATGGGGTATGGATATTTTCAATCTTAATACATACTGCCAAATTGCCTTTCAAAAGCATCATGCCAATTTTCATTCCCATCAGCAGTGTAGTCTCACATTTCCTAAGACTGTGACCTTTAAACTGTTTGCCAATCTGATGGAGGAAGAAATGGTAACGTGTTTTTTTGTGTGTGTGTGTGTGAAAAAAATGACATTTATTTTGTTTTGTTTTTTAACATTTTTTATTGAGTTATAATCATTTTACAATGTTGTGTCAAATTCCAGTGTAGAGCACAATTTTTCAGTCATACATGAACATATATATATTCACTGAGACATTTTTTTCTCTGTGAGCTACCATAAGATCTTGTATATATTTCCCTGTTCTGTACAGTATAATCTTGTTTATCTATTCTTCATTTTGAAATCCTAGGCAGCGGGTGGGAAGGGACAGACTGGGATTTCATGTGTTTGTTTTTAACTTGCATTTTCCCTCACTAGTGCAGTTGAGCATCTTCTCAAATGATG